GTTATTTATTGAGCACCTGCTATATCCCACATGCTATAGTTTTTACATAGATTTTTTTCACTTAATCATCACAACAATCATATGAGAAATACTTCTTACTGCCTCGTTTTTACAGTGGAGACAGATATTCCTTCTTTGGGTTTTCTTTAGAAAATAGAGAGTTCCAAGATTGATTTTCTACCAAATGTCTATTACTTTGCTCCAGCAAAGATTAGAATGGCCCTTCTGAGGGGTGCATTGGATCAGTTCTACCTTTGAGTTTTTCTCCTCTTTCTCTGGGTTGTCTTAAAGTGTAGTCAGATCTTTCTTGCTCGGCATCCCTCTCTACTTCATGGTCTTTCCATCCAGCTCTCTTCCTCACTTTGTGTTTCTCATCACAGCCTCATTGACCTCCCTGTTTCTTGGGTTATATGGCTTCTTTCAGGTGGCAAGATCAGATGGAGGGGTGTAATTTGATCATCTTCCGTCTTATTCTTCCCAGCTTAGTGACTACAGAGTGAGGGAAGCTTCTCTCCTTCTACCTTAGTGTGTGTGTGTGTGTGTGTGTGTGTGTGTGTGTGTGTGTATCTCAAAGAAGTCCTGGGATTGGCTTGGCCTGGAAAATAAGACCACCTCTTGAAGTAATTGCTGTGGCCAAGGGGATTCAGGCTTTGGCCAGGCCTGGGATCACTTTTGCATCAACTTTTGTGATCAAGGGGGTATGGAATTAACATTTGTAGCCTAGCAGCAAAATAGCTTGGTTGGAATAGAAGAAGTGGGTAGCAATTTCCCAAAGGAAGGGAAAGGGGCTGAAACCATAAGCAAATGGACAGTGTCACTAGGCAGACAAAAATAGTAAATTTTCTCACTTCCCACCTTTAGCTTCTTAGCATCTATACAAATGCAGAGTTAAATAAGACAATGCATGCAGTAAGCACTTCACATAACACTGGAGCAGAATAAGTGATAGATCAATATCTGTAATTATTGAACATCTTTAAAATTGTGGTGAACTATACATAAAATATGCTGTTTTAACCATTTTTAAGTGTGTGGCATTAAGTACATCCACATTCTTACGATTGTAATCATTGCCACCGTTTACCTCCAGAGTTTTTTTCTTCTTGCAGAACTGTAGCTCTCTACCCATTAAACAATAACTCCTCATTCCCTTTTGCCCCCAGCCCCTGGCAACCACCATTCTACTTTCTGTCTCTATGAATTTGACTACTCTAGGTACTTCATATAAGTGGAATCATACAGTATTTGTCCTTTCGTGACTGGCTTATTTCCCTTAGCATAGTGTTCTCCAGGTTCATCTGTGTTGTAACATGCATCAGAACTTCCTTTTTTAAGGTTGAGTCATAATCCAGTGTGTGTATACACCACATTATCCATTAATCCATTAATGGACACATGGGTGTGTAAATATCTGTTTGTGTCCCTGCTTTCATTTCTTTTGGGTATACACACAGAAGTGGAATTGCTGAGTTGTATGGTGATTCTATGTTTAATTTTTTGAGGAACCACTGTCCTGCTTTCCATGGTGTCTGTACCATGTTACACTCCCACCACCTGGGCGCAACAGTTTTTATTTCTCCACATTCTCACTAACATTTGTTATTTTATGTTTTTTTAAATGTTTATTTTATGTTTTTATAGTAGCCATCCTAATGGATATGATGTGGTCTTAAATTAAACCTTGGTAACTGAGATAATACCAGTGCCACTGATAAAATTAGCATCTGGAGGAGTGGGGCAGATAGTACTGTTAGAATTTTCAAAGTCAAGTTTCGATGATGGCTGAGTGTTAAACTAAGCTAGGTTTTCTCAAAAGAGAGGGAGAAGTCGGAGCCAGAGGTATAGTTGAGCAATCATCCCTATAGAGATACTTGTTAAAGCTGTGAGTGGGTACATTCTCCAAAGGAAATTGTTTAAGAATGAGCAGCAAGGTTCAAAGGATTGAGGAAAAGGAGCCAGTGGGGGAGCCCATGGAGGCAGCCTTGAGAGACACCTGGATATTTCAGAAACTCAGAGACCCAGGATGGAAATGATCAGTGAGCTCAGATGCCAAGACAGATAACTTTATTTAAATTGCCTGTGAAGAAAATTTTGTTAAATTAAATCCGTTTATGTGAATAATATCCTGTAGTGCCCTTTATAATTTTCAGAATGCTTTTATGTAGATTTCCTTATTTGGCCCTTACAGCAATCCAGTGAAGTACATACGTTTTTGTTCTCATATTACAGAGGAAGAAACTGAAGCACAGAGAGATTGCAGTTTTCCTAAGGTTACTGCTGGTACATCTCGGTTTCCCAGGATGATTGGTTTTGGGGAGGCTGAAGGCACAGTAGTTCAGAGAAGCTTACAGCAGAGTAGGCATGAGTTGTTTTCTCATAATGCCCCAGAGGCTTGTAATCCCTAGCACATGAGATCTCATTCAGTACCTCCTGGAAACAGTATATACTGGCCACTCTCAGTTTCCTCTGAAAACTAGTCAAGAGCTTGATTGCCCATACTCTAGAGCAGTGATTGTTAAATTGTGAGTCATGGCAGGGCACAGTGGCACATGCCTGTAACCCCAGCACTGTGGGAGGCGGAAATGGACAGATCACAAGGTCAGGAGTTCGAGACCGGCCTGGCCAACATGGTGAAAGCCCGTCTCTACTAAAAATACAAAAATTAGCTGGGCATCGTTGTGGTTACCTGTAATCCTAGCTACTCGGGATGCTTGAATTGTTTGAACCCGGGAGGCGGAAGTTGCAGTGAGCTGAGATCACGCCATTGCACTCCAACCTGGGTGACAGGCCAAGGCACTGTCTTAGCGAAAAAAAAAAAAAAAAAAAACTATGAGTCATGACCTAGTGGTGGGTCATCCAGTCATTTTAGTGGGTCATAGTGAGGCTCACGAGAGCTAGTAGAATGTGTCCCTTCCCAACTCTGCCTTTAGTAACTTCGTGTTGGTTATCTGAACTCAATAGTGGTGGAAATCAGCACACAACACAAAGTTGTGGCTTTCATTTGTTTTACTGTAGAGAGCCAGTGAAATGTTTTCTAGCACACCACCAGTCACAGTCATCATTCCCCACCATCTCCTCCCCAGTGCAGCAGAATGAAATAAAAAAATGCCAGGGTCTATGTATGTAAAAGTAAGTGTAAGTATTATGGGAATTTATTTAAGTCATAAAGATGGTTATGTGTTCAGTGACAATGTGAGACACATTTTTTACTATGCATTGCAATCAGAAAAAAAGTTTGAAAGTGACTGGTGGTCACTGGTCTAGAGTCACTTCATTTACTTCCTTTTTTTGTTTGTTTGTTTGTTTTTTGAGACACAGCCTCACTCTGTCACCCAGGCTAGAGTGCAGTGGCATGATCACAGCTCACTGTAGCCTCATACTACTGGGCTCAAGCAATCCTCCTGCCTCAGCCTCCTGAGGAGCTGGAACCACAGGTGTACACCACCACATCCAGCTAATTATTTTATTTTATTTTTAGTAGAGATGAGGTCTCTGTGTTGCCCAGGCTGGTCTCAAACTCCTGGGCTTAAATCCTCCTGCCTCAGCTTCCCCAGGTGCTGGGATTATAGGCATGAGTCACCATGCCCAGCTGCATAATTTGCTTCTTACCTTCCTTAGGTAACTGGAAGTGCTGTTCTCCTGATCTTCAGGCAGAGAACTGGTATCCAGCATCCTCTTTGACTCATTAATAATGCTGCACCTACCAAAGGAGGAATGAGGCTGAATTATCAGACTAGAAGCTATTCTAGAAGAGACGAAACCCCACTTACATCAATCTTTTGACTCAAAGCCATATAAAAATCCATTCTAATGCCCCAGCGAAGATTTTCTCCAGTGAGCAGAAAACAAAAATCATTATCCTTAAATCCCAAAGGTTTAAGGCTTGTGAATAGCATAAGTCAGTTTATAGCTGGTAGCATTGTTTTACTCTACCACTCTTCATTGCCAGAGCTCCCTATAAAGAAATTAAATCTTTTTAAGAAAGTAAAGAAACTCTTAATAGAATAAGTTACTCTCCTTTTAATAATTCAGTCATTTATTTTCTAAATCTAGGTTTTATATGCTTATATAAAAATACATCAGATACACTCAAGTATGTTATGCTTTGAAGCTAGCGTGGTAGATAGATCATAGAATTTGATCTCAAGAGCTTTAATTTTAATCAGCCTTAAACATTTTAAATTTTCATAAAAGGGTGGTTATTAAGTATTCTTATGCCAAAAAAACCTCTGTCAAACACATTAATCAGTCTTCCCTTAGGATGCTTACTGTCTAAATGTAGTTGCAAAAAGAAACACTTTTCACTAAATGACGTTTGAAAATCATTGAGAGATCTCAATCTCTCTATTCCGTGATAAAATTTTATCATACCCATTTGACAGGCTTGTTGTAATAAAATGATCCAGAAAAGGGGAACATGGTTTTTTACAGGTTTGTAAGAATTAAATATATCTCAGAAATGAATTATGTGCATTTTTCTTAGAAGAATTAGGCTTGTTGTATTACTACAATTCTTTATGGTAGAATTTCTTAAAATAGCATTTTTTATTAAAATTATTCAACACTCATTTGCGAGTAGAAAGGAAACCTTTCCCCATAGATGGACACTTGAGCTCTTGTTGGTTTTAGCGTCTGAACTGAACCAGATGCCTGCATTGCTTGTGAGAAATTAAAAAGCATTTCTGGGAGGGCATGAGGGCTTGGTGGTGCTGCCGTAGTCAGCAGCTCCCATGTGGCTGCATTGCAGAGTTCCTTGGGCTGCCTTTGCTCTGAACAAACCCCTTGCAGCTGTGCCCGGCGCCTTTGTGACACTCAGGCAGGGTTTCATGAAATGGATCTGATGCTCTTGTGCCTGTGTTGTTCATTCCTACATACTGGAGCTCTGCCCAGGAAGGTGAGGGGGCAGCAGGTTGGCCCACACGCCCCAGCTGTCCCTTTCTACTAATGTCACTGAGGATATAAATAAATTGATTCATTCACTTCCTTTCTTATCGAACCAGAACGTTGCCAGAAGATACTGCCAGGGCTGTCCGGATCAGTTGAAAAGGCCTTAGGGACAGATCTGAGAGGTAAACATCTTTGCATTTAGGTAATATTTTAAATTAAGTTTAATTTGATTTTTCTTATTTACTTCAGACCTTGGAGGGAAAAAAATAACTTTGATTGTATGTTCATGACATTTAAGGTCTGGACCTTCTTTATTTGTCCCATTTTCCAGATGGCAATTTTTTCTTTTCGCTGTATTTTTTTTTCTTTTCTTTTTTCTTTTTTTTTGAGACAGGGTCTTGCTATGTTGCCCAGGCTGGTCTTGAATCTTGAACTCCTGGGCTCAAGTGATTCTCCCTCCTCAGCCACCTATTATAGGCACGCATCACCACACGCATCACCACACCTGCCTGGCTTAGGGCCTTCTTTATTGGCAGAGAATTCATGATAAACTTTTTTATCATAGGCTGTCATAAAAATGTGTATCCCTTACCTTCAGACAGCTGATGCATGGTAGAAGTACTGGCCTGGAAGTACAGATTGCCGCTGATCACATTAGGCCTTTTGTTGTTTGTAGAAGCCTAGTTTGTATTGTTAGTTGGAAGTCTTTTGCCACATAGGGTAACACTGCTATTGATCATAGGTCAATCAACTATTTACCAAGCAACTCTCATGTAAATATTTACAAGGCAGAATGCTAGGTGCCTTGGGTCATGTGAAAATTTGTAAAATGTGGTCTCTGCACTTAAGAGTATAGCAGTGAAAATAAGCAATATATGCCAGACAAAGTCTTTCCCCATGTCCCCCCAGACAATAAAAGAAACAGTGATTTAGATAGTTTAGGAGAGTCTATCCACCATTCCTCTCAGGTAACTTATGCTTCCAAATGAGCATGAGATGTGAATCTGCTCTTGGCTTCAATGGTTCTTTATTCCTAGGTGATTCTCACAGTGTACTTCACCTTGGCAACTGTTGATCACAGTGTCTGAAAATATTTGCCTTCTCTATGGCCCCAAACACAATTCAGTCACTTTAGTCAGGTGCTAACAAAAGAACAGAAGGCTGGAGGAATAAGTGTGTTTGTTGGACTCCCTGATAGTTGCCAAACTGGCATGATGTATTTTACAGGTGCTTTAAGACTTTTTAGGGTAGTTCTGAATATATTTTATGTTTGCGTTGCTGTTGACTTTAGGACGAACATCATAAGATATAACTTCATTTATTTCTTAAATGCCGAGTGAGTGTATAAGGACAGCATTATCTGTAGACATTTGGCTAAAAAAAGAATTTCCAGGCCAAGCCATCAAAGCAAAAATAAAGATGGGTTAGCTTCAATGGCTGGTATTTCAAAGTCCTACAAAAAAGGGAGGGGGGTGGGGGAAGAGCTTGGCTGTAACTGTGGTCATAAAGGCAGTGATGGTAATTTATAACCACAAGCTGGACCCCTTATACACTTGGGCATGGATTCGCATTCTGTAGGTGGCCTGAAAAACTTCAGACTGGGAGTTTAACCTAGCAGAATCAAATGCATATTTTATCTGGAGGAATCCTCCTCCAGCCCGAACCTCAAATAATTCTCACAGATTAAGCTTTATGAGATCAGAGTTTAAAATCACAAAACAAATAAAGAAACGTGATGCCGTGAGCAAAGCCAACAAAATAATAGATAACAGTGTTAGACTAAGATATTGAAATTGCCAAATCATGTAAAATAAATTTTCTCATATGTTTAGAGAAGTTTAAAAAAGAGAGTAAACCAAGAGATTAAAATTACGACCAAACAGATTTGAAATAGAACTAAGTAGCTCTTTTGGAATTGAAAAAATAATGATTAAAGTTTAAAAATCAGTGGATGGGCCTACCTGCAGATGTGACCCAGTTCACTGAAGAGAGATTTAATGAACTCAGTGACGTTTTCAAAGAAATGATCTGGGCACTTGTCTTTCAAGTCGCCTTCTTGGCCCTCTTCCAAGTGTACTTTCCTTCCTGCTCTAAAGCTTTTTAATAAACTTTCACTCCTGCTCTAATACTTGCCTTGGTCTCTCCTTCTGCCTTATGCCCCTCAATCACATTCTTCTGAGAAGGCAAGAATCGAGGTCGCTGCAGACCCGTACAGATACAGATTCACTGCTAACATATTCTAGTGCCATGTGACTCGGATACCATCCGCTGGTAACATACCTTGTGTGACTCAAATACATTCCCTGCTTGCCATCAAACTTCAGATCATTCTCAGTGAGGGATACCATCCTTTCAACATTCAAGAGTCACCCTTCTACAGAGGACCCCTAGATTGCCCATCAGTGGAACACAACAAAGACAAAATCCTGTCCCTGTCTCCCTTGGGCCTGCCTGGATACCACTTTGACCAACCCACGGAGCCACCCTGCCCTGACAGCTAGCAACAGGCCAAGATCCGCAGAACAGCCAACTACCACCCCTCTGTCAGCAGAAAGCAGTTACAGAAGACTGACCTTCATCTATTTTCCCCAAAGAATCGGGGTCTTGGACTTTTGAGCAGGGAAAGGTTATAGTAGGTAGTCAGACATGAACAGGGCAGGAGAGGGCTCCTTCCCCACCCGCTTCCGCATCACCTGATGGTCAATGTCAGGTGACCATCAGGTGGTGGTTAGGCAGTTGTTAACTGTCTTTCTAAAACAATAATCAGTTGCAACCAGCACCAGGGAAAGGCCGTCTCCTTATAGATAGGAAAAACCTGCAACTGGTATTAGTAGCTTCCTGATAAGATCTCGGGAGTTGGGTGAGTGGGCTTGAGTATGTGCATGAAGAGGTAAAATGGCGGCGTTTAACTGGCACAGGACCTCCTAGGGACATTCAGCTGGTAAGGGAAGCACGTCTCAAGTGAGCATGTGTACAGCTCCAGTAAACAGTCTGTGCATGCCCACCTACCAAGTGCCATCAGGCCACTGCATCTGCACATGTGGACAGCCCACTCCAAGGGAAAAACCAGGGGAGAAGAGATGCAAGATACCAGAAGTATGCCAACATATAAAACTCCAAGTCAGAAGGTCAGACTTCATGCTCTCTCTCGTCACCTGCATGGCCCTCTTCCAACTATACTTTCCTTCCTTTTGTTCCTGCTTTGAAGCTTTTTAATAAACATTCACTCCTGTTCCAAAAGAAAAAAATAAATAAATGAAAAAATAAATGATCGGGAATGCAGCACAGAAGGAAAAAGAGGTGGAAAGCCAATTGGGAATGCCTAATAAATACTTAGTTGGAGCTCTGAAAAGGAAAAATGGGAAGGGACTATATTTGAAGAGATAATGGCTGAAGATTTTCCAGAACTAGTGAAGGATACACATATTGCAGTGAATCACAAGAAATCCACACCTAGACACATCATACCTTAGAGCACTGAGGTCAAAAAATGTTAAAGCAGCTGCAGAGGGAAAGGATTACCAGAGCAGCTCCAGTCTGATTGACAGCTAACATCTCAACAGCAAAGATGGAAACAAAAATACAGTGTAATGTTGCTGTTGAGGAAAGGAAATAATTACTAAACCATAAATGTATTTTAAGCAAAAATACCTTTCATGAATGAGGATGAAATACATTTTCAACACATAATACCTAGAAGAGTTTGTCACTAGTAGAACTTTGCCAAGGAGTTTAAAGAATGTATTTCAGACAGAGGAAGGTGTTATAAGACCAGAAGAGGGCCGGGCGTGGTGGCTCAAGCCTGTAATCCCAGCACTTTGGGAGGCCGAGGTGGGTGGATCACGAGGTCAAGAGATCGAGACCATCCTGGTCAGCACGGTGAAACCCCGTCTCTACTAAAAATGCAAAAAATTAGCTGGGCATGGTGGCGCGTGCCTGTAATCCCAGCTACTCAGGAGGCTGAGGCAGGAGAATTGCCTGAACACAGGAGGCGGAGGTTGCAGTGAGCCGAGATCGCGNAAAAAAAAAAAAAAAAAAAAAGACCAGAAGAAAGGCCTGAAATGCAGGAGGAATTGGGGGCAAAGAATGTGTAAAATCATGGCATATATGCACATAATGAGCAACAAAGTGATGATAATGTTCTTGTGAGGTTAAAAAGAACATGAAAATATCCAAACCACCATATCCTGTAAATCAAGGAGAGCAGATGTTCAACATTAAAGTCATCTAACTTCATACTGTACAATAAAAAGGTAAGATTATTGATGAATTTTAGCTTTACATACTTAACATATACAATTGTTAAATGAATAAAGTATTTTTTAAAAAATAGAGCGTTTTCAAAGTAGCAGAGAGAAAGCGGAATGAGAGAATAAACCCACAAGGAAGAAAAGGAAACAGAGAAGGGGTGGGACAAACAGAAAGCACAACTTAAAACAATATGAACAAATAAAAGCATTGGTCCTTTCAAAAATGTGAGGCCCCTAAATGTTCCAGTGAAAATCAAAGGCTGATTCATTCATGAATGCAACAAATATGTACCAAGCATCTTCAGTGTGTTCAACAGTATTCTAGGCACTAGGCACAAGCCATAGAGCAGTGAGCAAAACAGCCAAAAGTCCCCAATAGGAGAGACCGACAACAGACCAAATAAGTAACACAAATAGTACATGAGATAGTGGGAAATATTCTAGAGAAAAAAACAAGCAGTGAAAGAAGATAGAGAATTGGGAGATTCACCATTCTAAATAAAGAAGTCAGAGAAAGTGGCCTTTGACGTATAAGACCTGAAGAAGAGGGACTGAGGTGGCAGATATGCATGGAAGGGAATTCCAGGTGGAGGGAACAGTGTGAGCACAGGCCATGAGGAAGGGATGTGGCTGCTGTGATTGGGAAATTCAAGTGGAGCTGTAGTGTTACACGAGAGAGCAGAGGAGATGAGAACAGATGAGGCTGAGATGACAAGGGACTGGATCATGCAGACCCTGGGGGCCAAGGAGGGAAGCTGCACTCATCTTCTGAGCCTAGTGGAGCCATTGAGGGGTTTTCAGCAGAGGATTTCACAGGATGGCTGTGGCTGCTACATCAGGCAGGGTTGAGGTGGGAGCAGTGGAGGGAAAAGAAAATGGCCAACCAGAAATATTGTCAGCCTGGATTTTTTTAAATCCTCATTTAGCCTATT